CACACACACACACACACACACACACACACACACACACACACACACACAGTGATGGGGCCTGGAAGTTCAAGTTCCAGGATGGAGGCCCCAGGGAGAACAATTCATCTGGAGCTCTTTGGAAAGAAAAGTGTCAGCTCGGTTTGATCTGAAGAGTTTAGTATAATCATTTGAACTTCATGGGAAATGTTCTTCTTTTGCCTTTTCCTACTTTTTCTTCCTTTTTTCTCCACCCTCGTCTCCACCTCCACCCCTTCGGCTGAACGCTAAGTTTGGCAAGCAATAGGAATGAGGGTTGGGACTTGTACAGATAAATCCAGGGGCCTGTGCAAGAACGAGCCTGAAGAAAGATGGCGTCCAGCAAGACAGATCTGAACTGGAGGTGTGAGTGATGCTGAAGGAAAGCAGGGTTAGGAGTAATGTTGGAAGGTGGGTGTATGCAGGTATTTGGACAGAGGAGGAGGTGGGAAACCAGAGCAGTCTTTAAGGAAGGATCCTGCTGACGCTGTGGGCCCGGGGACTTTTAGGAAGTGTTGTGGCAAGTGGAGCTGGTTGATTTGTTCTGACTTCCGGTCTCCCCCCCCAGGTCAATGGGATGGACATCAGCAACGTCCCTCACAACTACGCCCTTCGCCTCCTGCGGCAGCCCTGTCGCGTGCTGCGGCTCACTGTGCTGCGAGAGCAGAAGTTCCAAAGCAGGAGCAATGGACAGGCACTGGATGCCTATGGACCCCGCGATGACAGTTTCCATGTGATTCTCAACAAAAGCAGCCCTGAGGAGCAGCTTGGAATAAAACTGGTGCGCAGGGTGGATGAGCCCGGGGTTTTCATCTTCAATGTGTTGGATGGTGGGGTAGCAGACCGACATGGTCAGCTGGAGGAGAACGACCGTGTGTTGGCCATCAATGGACATGACCTTCGGTACGGCAGTCCCGAAAGTGCAGCTCATCTGATTCAGGTGAGTCACAGGTCATTGCCAAGATCTCGGCTGGAAACTGCCATCAGGAGTGGTATGCTCATTAACCTACCCTACCTGCCATGTTACTACCACATGTAACATGTAGTGCCCCCCTTCCCAGGAATCAAGATTGAAGGGCCAGGTAAGAACATTACTCAAGTAAATGATGTGTCTCAGGTTCATGGACATTCCCTAAGTGTCGCCAACCATGACTGCCTATAAACCAATGACTGCCAACCAATATGACTGCCTGTGAACACTTAGGGTTATGTGCTGCAACCTGACCAGGTGAAGATCACTTAAGGTCATCCTTATAGCCCGTATGTTGTTTGCAGACCGAAGGGTCGTTCAGATACATTCTGGACATACCCAAGACCTCTAGTTGTACTAACGCCCATGAGAAGCGGTGCCATACGCCCTCCAGGAATCCTGTGGACGGAGACCACTAGGGAATTAGCTAATAATCTCTGTCTCCATGGCTGAGTCCAGCCTCTTTGGAAAACCCACGGAACTCAAGTATGAACCTTTAGGAAGGCCTCTCAAAAGAGAGGCATACAAGTTATGTTCCCAATAACCTGACGTTGGTTCAAATTAATTCACTTTCCTGACTGGTATACCATCATCAAGCCCCAGCAGGTATCCTGTTGGCTCTCCCTGGGTCACCATGGTTTTCTAATGCATGATGAGCTGCCATCTTTATTCTTTGAAGGACAGGCTTTGTTCTGTGCTCTTGTACTCCGAATTCATTTATTTACTTCATTTAGCCAAAACACATTACATTTCTGCTGCTTGCCTAGCCATAAATCAGGTACAGGGAACACAGAGATGATGACCTCTTAGGCTGCTCTCTCAAAGGAGCCCACAGTCTAGTATGGGGGATGGACTTTTTGTAAATAATTCCCATATGGTGTGTTAGTACTATAATGGAGAAATTAATAACAGTGCTGTTTCAGATGAAGGAGAGATTATTGCTTGCATGGGCCTAGGAATTCTTAATAGAGGAGAAGACCTTGAACTGGGGCTTGGACGAATCAGTAGAAGGCCTCTAGGTAGACAAGGAAGGAAGGGTCATTTGAAGGGGATACAACACAAAAGAACATTTCCCGAAAAGCTGGTTAGGAAAAGGGTTAATACCAGGAGCATGGAGTACATTAAAAAAAAAACAGCCATAGACGAGGCAGGAGTGGCAGGCAAGGACCAGACCCTAAGAAGCTCAGACTGTATCCTCAAGGCCATGCGGTGTCATTGGAAGGGTTTAAGAAAGGAGGTGACATGATTTTCTTGATTCCTCTGGAGGCGGTGGAGAGCTGATAGGAGAGGGGACAGATTAGAGGCTTTATCTTATGAAGCATTTGCAATTACCTGACATACTGCGTCAGCTTCTAGTTAGTGACTAAAGTATTAATACTTCAAGAATAGACAGTGAGTCAGCAGTATATATTTGGCTGAACCTTGTACCAAGTTCCACTGAAGATGACAGAAGATTGAGCCTGCTTTCAAGAATTGGTCACCTAAGCACACACTGATCTCCCTACCCGGGGTTCCGGCCATGGACTTCTTCCGGGTGTCGGCAGCTCTCTTCACTGTCGTGTGGAGCATCTTCTGCCTCTTCCTTGGGGAGAAGCAAGTGGTAGATGATACTGTCCTTTTGTACGTGGACAGCATGAGGCAGAGGGGGCAAGGGGACTCTCCCTCCTTCCCCTGTCCACCAGGAAAGGAAGCACATGTGCTAGCTTGGCCCCTGAGCTGTGGATCTTGGTGGTGTTCCACTTTCAAGGTGATGGATGTTTATCTCCCTAACAGGGCCTAAGGCCATGGCCTGTGGATCAGGTGGAGAACAGAATCAGAGTGACAGAAGGCATTTCCCTTCTGGAGTTTGTGCCGTCTAATTTCCGAATTCATATGTCCAGCCTCAACTTCTCCTCTGAACGCAACCCTTCTATAACCGACTGCCTGCTTGGTATCTCCATTTAAAGGCATCTCAAACTTAATGTCTAAAATCAAATCCTTGACTTCTCCCTACTCTATTCCTTGTCAAACCTGCTCTTTCCTCAGCTTTTGCCAGCCTCTAGAAATGGCA